TTCCAGATTGAGACATTTGTGCTGCCGCAGGTTTCTTTATTGTAGACACAGGAGAGACGCCAGGGTGTGACCTCTCCTGCATAGGCGATGAGGGTACGATGATAGCTGGTGTCCACATTGATCTGGTACAGCGATACCTGTGTATCTCCTTCAACAAAGAAAGACCAGCATGTTCTCCTACACCATGACACTGCACGTCTTGCTCAGTATCTCCGGGAAGGAGCGCGAGTCTTAGCTTCGAAGTTCTCCCTCATCCCGGTTGATCTCGAGGTTGAACGCCTTAGACAACTTCCTGTTTGGGGTTCACAAATGACCATACTGCTCCTTTATGTCCACCATTTTTGATGTTCAAGCCTAATTTTGCAGGTGTCACAGTATTGCGAGATTATACAGAAGGCGGAATAAGTGTAGAGGTAAGCTGCTCGAAAGATTCCCAAGGTGGAGTGTGAAAACATGCCAGAAATGGCTGGATACTCTCGCTTCCTTTCATTAGACGCACAATCTCCTTTAATTATAGATATCTGAACCCCAAAACAATTCACTAACTTTTCGTCGGCGTAGTGAAACGGAACATGTGGACTGTGGACGAGTGCTTCGCAAAGACGAGGTGAGGTGAGGACGATGTTCATGGAATTTCGAACCATGAAATCCAATCTTCTTCCCTCAGATATCTTTCTTTTGCGAATAGAACTGTTATGTCTCCTTCTCACCGACCAAAGCTTTACATTCACTCCCGAGACGTTGTTCAATCGCCTCCCCGCGGCTTCTCCTCATAATGAATGAATGATGCTTAGGTGGATTGAAAAACCATGTGTCCACCTGCAGCTTACGTTTGTTCCATGGCAGAAATAGGAAGGGAATTTGCCGCATTATTGTAGTCCACTATTTTGATACACCGTCATTGTCTGATGCTTGAACAACGGTGAAGAAAAGAGTGGTTGGTGTCATGCTTGGCTAAGGATATTGAACAACACTAAACAATTCTATAAGGTACTCTCTATAGCACAACTCCCCAAACAATTCTATAAGGTACTCTCTACTAGCACAACTCTAAGGGTTTTGACTGTATCTGGATTGGCAGCTTCATTCCTTCATAATCTATTGTTTTTATGGATTCTTTACCATGACACGTACCAGAAATGTAAAGGTGGAGTTGACGCACTTACTAAGCTTGTATCCGAGGCCGCTTCTTACACTCCCGACTTTCAGGGTTGGCGGCCCGCTGCTCTCCACCGTCACGACCTCCGCCTCTAGTATTTGTATCTTTTGCATTTGATTGTTTCCTTCCATTCTACAAAATTCATAGTCACTATACTACATGATTGCCTGTTGTTCTATTTGTTTTACTCAACGATAATACCCATAATGTTAAACTATCTTTCTTTTCCATTTCCAAAAAGTGCGAATATGCACTTCTCCGACTATTTGAGATATTACAGTAATTGAGAAACTGTAGTTCTTGAACACGTGAAGCTGGACCTACTCGACTGTGATTGTATACCAGTTTCGCTTCGAAGGACTCGTGCAAGGAAGCTGGCTTCCGGCCCTCATAAACTAGAGGAAGCATTTATGTGAGGCTCTCCCTATGCATCGTGCAAACTTAATGGCAGCGCCCGCGTTCATTTGATGTTCCTACGCCCTCCTTAGATATCGTAGCTTTGTCGACAAGGGTGGAGGATGTACTAATTTCGCAGCTCAAAAATACGAGAGGATGGCGCCACCCGCTTGTGAAGAGGATGCCGCCCCGCCCACCTGGCTGCCATAACTGCTTTGGCTTAGCCTTTAAAGGCTGAGCCCGCTTTCAATAATGAGTTATGGAGCTCATATAATACGTGATCCAGTAGTGAAGAAAAAAGCAGAAAAAATCATGGAAAATGCCCTATATAGAACCCTATGCTGGCAGTGCGCCTTCTTCGAGATGCAAAATTAGTACATACTGCGTCCTCATAGGGACGGCTATGATATCCAGAGAGGGTGCGGAGAACATCAAATGAACGTGGAGCACTGCCTTTAAGGGCCATAGATTGTGAAGGATGCGAACTGCCAAACCAGCGCGTCAGCTGCACTGATGTTATGCCGTCCTATTCTGCAATGCATCTAACTCTAGTTTGGGTTGCAGTACCCTCCTATCAAAACTCCTATGAGAGTTGAAATCGCTATGAGAGTTTGAATAAATGTAAGGTGATGCCGATAGACTAATAAAATCGGGAATATTCGTAAGCTAGGAGAAGCTAATTGAATGTTTCGATTTTCTGGCTCAGATTTACACTAGTTTCCAGAAATATATCAGAACTCTAGCAGCACATCGACCAACCCTGCTCCCTCGAAACGTCAATTGCAAACGCTATACGGACTGCGATGATATTCGCATGAAGATGACGGCTCAGCGTACTTTCAAACCATTACCGTTCGGTATTGCTTATGTACGGATTGTTTACGAGGTGGGTTTTTCGGTTTCGAGATCGTTTCTTTTGATTTCTCCTGATTTCATTTTTAAAACAAGTTATATTGAGCTAGAACTTTTCATGTTCGTTATTTCATGGGTAGTCGTATTATGAAGGCTATAAAGAGTGAAACGAAAGCGTTCTTCCTAATATGTAATGATATGAATAATCATGCCTTTTCAGTCCTACGACTTCATAGAAGACGAGCTTGCAGCCAGCTACCATCCCCAGAATGTATTCTGTTACTCTGTCGACAAAAAAGCTAAGGCAAGCTTCAACACTCGCATTGAGTTGCTATCAAGATGCTTGCAAAATGTTCTTGTGACACGAGGTTAGAATGACTTTTGGCACTATTTACCCTTTACTGCCCCAGTCATCCGAAATCAGGCCAGTTCCTGACCGACTTTTTTCTCCGTGGGCAGAATTTGCTGAAAACTTGGCTCCAGGGGTAGTTCGACCCGCTGAACACGAATATCACTTCCATTTTGCATGGAAAAACCTCATTTCTCTACTAGTCGTATGATCAATGCTTCTTCGAAAATCCCGCGCTCGCCCAGCTTTCACACGCAAGCTCGTGGGAAATGGGATTTCCCACGGAATCGTGTGGGAATTGAGTGTTTCTCGTGGTGACGTCTTCAAAACTGACCTAGTAACTTGGGAAAGCCCCTTTGCTCTCATTTAGCTATTCTCATGGCTCTGAACATACTTCATCGCCGCAACCGCGAGATGGAGCTGACTGATTTCAAATGGCTCGACCTAGTTGAGAAGCTCAAAATGGATCCTCATGAATTCCGAGCATGGTTGCGCAGACTAGGATTTTTGGCGCCGGCGCGGCGTGGCCGCCGGGCGCCAGAATTTGGTGGTTTCAGTATTGGCCAGCGCGTTACGCTGGCGACAGAAGAGGTTTCGGGTTGAGCGGATGTGATATTCGTGTTCAGGGGTCAAACTACCCCTGGGAGCAAGTTTTCAGCGAATTTGGTGATTTCGAGTATTTTGGCGCCGGCCCTGGTGCGGGCGCCAGGAGGTTTCGGGTTGAGCGGATGTGATATTCGTGTTCAGGGGGTCAAACTACCCCTGGAAGCAATTTCAGCAAATTCTGCCCACGGAGAAAAAAGTCGGTCAGGAACTGGCCTGATTTCGGATGACTGGGGCAGTAAAGGGTAAATAGTGCCGATTTTTATTCAAGTCGTCATTTAGTCGTCAAGTACGAAGAATAGGAATTTCGTTTGAAATGTCGATGACCCAAATCGAACGGCAGCTATGAGACGATGAAGATCAATGCGGCTTTGACGATTTTCTTCCGCTAGGTCCTCCTGATTATGAGGAGATTTTGACACCACATTATCGATTTGAATTTTTGTACGCGGCTTTCGAAGTGCCCTGGTCATCGCCCACTATCTTAAATTCATCTTTTGTCTTTTGTTTTATCAGCACGCCTACAAATTTCAGACCATATTGCCCTGAGAAAAGTCGCAGTTTACGAACAACCTTATCTGCTCATCTGAAGGAAATCGCAATGCTATTTCGACATTTTCAGCGAGATTCAGTGTCACCAGTTCTGGACTTTACCAAAATCACGCTTTTTATGAATGTCACAAGCTCCTTATACAGGTCCCTGGATGGGGATACTTAATACAGTTGCAGGTGAGTCAGATTCAAAGTTTACACTAACCTCCGAGATTGGCCATTTCCATGGGAGGTGAGTTTGTCCGTGCACTAATTTATCTGTTCACAAGTGCACGGTGGAGAAGGTAGTGATGCCTTCACTCGCCGCCCGTGCTATCTTCAATGTGCAGCACTTGTCTCCATACCGAAAGCTCACAGCCAACGCGTTGTCAGATGTACAGGACGAACAAAAGTGATAGTGCGCGGACAAGTAGCGAATTTGGCTCTGGTGAGCCGTGCGACTGGCCGTGCGGGAGGGCACGCTGAGTGGGGGGGGGGGGGGGGCGCACTACCTTTGCAGCTCCATATTCGTGCACTCTGAGGGGAGAAAGTGATATTTTACTCAGCTGGCGGACTCATTCACCTCTCCCATGGCAAGGACCGAGATCCAGGGAGGTGAGTGTACAGTTTCTCTCTGAGCTGTCTTTTCACTGTATTGTCGAATATTGACATTTTGTGCTGTGAACTCCTCTCCAGAATTACGACGTTATGATAAAATCTGTGTATGAGACAGTGGCAATACTTCAAGCGTTAGACGGAGCAAATGATATTGGTACCACTATATGCGATCTCCGTCGTTGGGACCATGCAGCAAAATGGGAAATTGGGTCACTGAAGCTCTTTCCTAGCGGTGAGTGGTAGCGTAAGAAGATCAAACGAAGCTGCCTGAACTTCCACTACTTCACTGTGAATTCTGCTCTAGCTCGCAAGCGATGTTCTGCTTAACAGATTTCTTTCAGGAACGAAACTGACATGGTCGCAACTTAATACAACTCTATTGATGACCTGTAGTTTGGTACAGGCTTCCTTATCACGAGCTACTGTCGACTGGATTGTTAACACGGTTAATCTAACTACGTTATTGGATCAACTTAATGCCGATCCTGATCAACTTAAACGCCGATCCTAATAGTAAAAGTACAGTCACGTTAAAATATGTCCCAATGACCTCAATTTAGTCCATGGAAGGACAATGTTGTTGTATGATGTACAGTGCCAGGATCCGCCCCCGGAAATAGTAAGATACATCTTTCGGAAACAGAAGATACAGTCTTTCAAAAAAGTTACTGATCTACCCGTTGACAACGATGTGAAACAAGCAACAAATGCGCGAATGATCGCGGCATGGGCCAAATAGGGGAGCCACCGCTCAGGGCACATCATTTTGTGTGGGATTTTAGTCGACTCTATACGACCCCCTTTTTTGGGAGTTGGTACGACCCCTCCCCCCAGCCCCTCTGTCCTTCCTCATCTAATCGAGCCGTCGAGCGGGGAAGAGGGGGGGGCGGGCGAGGAACGGAGGAGGCGGGGGGGGGTAAATAGCACATGTGGAAGGAAAAGTAGCAAGACAATACGACCCCACTCTTCTACCTAGTTCTCAAACTTCCCCCAACTTCCTGCCACTTTTTCCAAAATTTCCCGAAAACTTCCCTACTTTTTACCAAAAATTTTGCCTGTCGAGTGGGGGGGCCGCGCATATTAGATATTACGTAAAACAAGAAAATCACCAAAAGTACTGCCACTCCCACAACGCCAAAACGTGAATACGACCCCTCCTCCCTTCACAACGTCCATGAAGCGAAAAAAAACCAACTATCAAAATAAATTTTCTCAGCCCAAACCCGACCCCCTCCTGGCGACCAAATACGACCCCCCTAATGGGCATCCACAACGATGTGCCCTGCCCACTTGATACGACGATAAGAAGTGAACTGTGTTTCGGGACGCTCAGTTGTAAAGCGGATAAAAGTATGGAAGATAAAGTCCCCGCCGTAAATCAATCCTTTTTAGGATGCGGCACGCAATCTAGTTCCATTCAGAATCGTAGTGGCTTAGTGAATACAAATGTGGCCTACACAATGATTACTTTATCCAGCACCATCTACCGTCCTGAGAGACAGACGGCGTTGGCCTAGGCGGCAGTACGGCCGCTGAAATTATGAATCGCTACATGACGTGCGCCATGTTGTCACTACAAACCATCTTCCCCCCCTCCATTGACGACAGCAGCCACGATAATTGCTACCCGAGGCACGATAATTTGGTACCCGGAAAGCAGACTATCGGAACGCGTACATCTAATTGTAAATTGCTGGATCGACAAGTCGGCGTTTCCTTGTCAGAGAACTTGGTGCCCACAGATATCGAACCGAAGCAAACCCATCCCACCGTGCGCTCTCTTCACAATTTATTCGCCCTTTCACTAACTTGAATATTAAGGTTTATGGAGCAGATGAAATTCTGTGGGCTACACTGCAAACGACTGTCGAACTTGGAATGCCAGGCAGAATTTCATCATCGTGCTCGAAGGCAAACAAGCGAGGCGTACGAACGCCTTATTTTACGAGGTACTCATTTATTCTTTGTAAAGAAAACAAAGGAATCACTGAGTGGTTCCGAGGTAGTACTGTTATATAGTGTCAGTTTTGCCTTGGTATAGTCCATGTTCGACTTTCTTGCAATCTTGGCATGATGATATTCGATGTAGTTTGTCTTCGAGCCTCGACAAGATTGAAATACTTTATTAGGCCAACGTTTCGGCGTCTTCGCCTTCGTCAGAGCCTGAAATGGACAAAAAACACATGAGACCTGCCCGCTCAAACGCCTCAAC